GCTGTTACTTAAGGGATACTAAATGGAAAAAAAAATAAAAAATTAATCCATCGTTTGGGTGTAATTGTGTTTTATCGAGTACAAGAATCAAGCGTTCTTGAGGCTAGGTTGTAATTTTAATTTGAATGATTTTTGAGTTTATGGGCACTTGATTTATTGTTTTTTATTTATTCATTATTTATCATTCTGTCAGGCTGTGGATCCAATTATTACCCGGCTTTGTTACTGATCACCCAACTGTCTTTCAGTGAATGTTAAAATGCCACAATAGCAAATATCTATCATGAACAGCCAAGGCAGCAGTAAAGGGCAGTCTGATCACACCCCACACATGAGACATCAATCAAATTGAAGAAAACAAACATGAAGCAATCACAAACTGCACCAGAGTATTGACACTGCAAGTGTGGCCAGACTGGACAAGTGACAAGAAAACACCTTTGCCCTTTTAAACAAGCACAAAGTTACTGACCATATCTTATGAGTACCCGGGTGATCAGAAACAACAGTTTTTCACCCAAACTTCATCCAGAATATTTCCTGCTCACTTCTTGTACAGTTGCAAGTTTTCCTTATAGGGAGAAAATGCTTCTTTAGTATAAATCAAAAACAAAGGTGATCATTTTTTTTTTAATTGATTCATGCATTAAGGTCACAGAGATGTGTTAACTCTTAGAATGATGCAGTGGTATTCTAGTATGAGACTTTTAGGGGAGGTGAATTTCAGTGCATTAATATCCTCTATTAAATAAAACTGTTAGTACAGAATTACATTACATCACACAGAGACCCTCTCCAATTGCAATATCAGAGATGTGCAAGTGTGTTTTGATCGTCTATTAGCCACACAATTCGTCATTAAGATTTCATGAGAAGCTGACCTCCACAGCCCGATGTTCTCTATGTAATAATATTTCCACGCATGCACAGACTAGAGCCACTCAGTGGCACATCTCTGGGGAAACACTGTTTTGAACCTTGAAGAGCAGTACATAACAAGATAAAAACAATGTCAAAGGCTGTGAGATGGCCTCAAACTCATTGTTTTAAGGGTATGTTTGATCACATTTTGTATTAATTGAAAGTTGTTGTTTTTTTGGTTGTTGTTTTTAACTGTTGTTCAAACCTGTTATTCCAACTTTTAAAAAATTAAATTTCAATAAAGAAACAGTATTAATCGATGAAAATAACAGTGATATTAACAAAGACACAAATGCAACAAAGGATTTTCATATTTTGGTCCCATCAAGGGCCATGCTGATTTTCTGTACGTTGCATATAAGCCGCAGATCAAAACAGGCAGCTTATCTTAAATCTTACACAATCTCTGATGAAAAAAAAAAAAAAAGTTTCACATCAAAATGCCATCTCACTGGCTGATACCATCAGCCGCAAGACTGTTTTTTCTTATCCTCCTTTTCATCCTTCACCCCCTGCTGAAGCTTCACAGAAACACAGCTTTAGAAACATCTGAGAGCCTGCCCTATATTTCTGTGACCCCCTCATACCTTTTCCCCGTTTTACCTCCCTTTTCTGTGAGCTCCTGGCACAAAGTGAAAAATGTAAAATCTTAGAGAAACTTATCCTATTTCTGTGAGTTCTGCAAAGAGATGGGGCGCACCGCTGGATTTGTACTTGACCTGAGGGGTTAACTTCAGTCCCTTGTAGATACATGCTATACTGTTTTATATTTATAGCTCGGAGCCGTGCTGTTTCTTTCCTCTGAAAGCAGCTCTACAGTCATGTTTGTGATTAACTTAAATTACCCTTAATTTACCCTCCTAGCCAGTGTGATTGTTTTAATATCCACTGAGTCCCTAAAATAATAAAGATTATGAGTTCTCCATAGCTGCCATTGCTCCGATTTGATGGTTTGTTTCGAGAAGTATACATCACCTGTGGCATAGCCTACAGCACAAGCTCCAAAGCTACGCCAACTGCTATAAAAGCAGAACTTTACACCAATGTAGAGACATGTCAGAAGTTTGACCTTTTAATAGTGTCAAAATAAATGTAATCAGTCTTCTTTGAACTAGAGTTATATTAACCCTCACAATCCCATGCAGTTCGTGTTCCATATGAGATTACTGACAGGGACCATGACTCCATCATTTACATGCTTTGACTTCATTTTGATAATAATACTTATTGGACTGGACACAAATCATAAGTATAGTATTTTTACACTGAGTTACTAAAAGTAAAGGATTTAAGCTACTTCACCTCTTACATTTCATCACAGGCTGTAGGTCTAACAAAATCCAACCGTTTTAAACCTTAGTCTTTGTAAAGTCAAGACTAGCTTGTATTTTATTAAACTACAAATCAACATGACCCACTGTAAAGCCTGGCAAAGGATAAATCATTAACATTTCAGATTGCCGTGTTTCCTCTATTCCTCCGGATTTCCAAACACACACCTACCTCTTTCTGCTCCTCTTTCCTCCCTAGGCTGCATCATAGTTTACACTGCTGTAGCACAATGGGCTCTATTTTCGTGCCTTGCCAGAGACGTGGCGCATGCGCGGCGTCAGTCAGGTCCGCTGCGCGGACAAGGAGTTCCCAAGCACAATTTGGTAATTTGGTGAGTGGCGCAGCCCGGCGTAAGTATCCACCCTCCCAATCTCAGCTCCTCCCAGTGGCGTAAATCGTAGGGAGGGAGGAGAGATTTTAAATTTTTTTATTTAAACCCCCACATGACAAAGGTGAGTTGTGCTCACAGATCACAACATAAATTCCAATAATGGCATTAAACTTGGAACCACCTATGCATAAAGGACGCATCGCGCTCCGTGGCCTTGCTCTTTCTTTCATAGATGTTGGCATGTAAAATAAATCTGGCTCACAGAACTGAATATTATAATATTCGTATGTGGACTTGACTCCGGATTGAATATTTACAGAAACTTAATGATGTGAGGAAATCAGATAAGATTATTTTAGTTTATTTTTTTGTTCAAATTTTCGAAGTAAATAACTAATCTGATCACTAAAATAAATCATCTGGTCAGCCATGCCACCACTGCAGCAGCAGGACGGAGAGAGGATACGGAAACATGTCAGGTGTTGTGCCATAGAATGTAACCCTGCCGTAAAACACATCCCCTGACGGGAGCGCAGTTGAAAGTCCCTAACAGTGCAAAATAATTCAAGTTTACCTTACAGTTGGACTGATTCTAAAGCGTGTGCCTTTAATGATTTCATTCAGACTATTCAGATATGCCGAGAACAACAGCCCTCTGATTCAGAATATTTGCTGCCCCGAAAATATAATGATCTCTACCGAGATTTGAGATTTTTATTATTTTTATATCTGTTCTACATTTGTCTGCGTTTGTGTTTTGAGCTTTATTTTCATATTCTGGAGGGATTGATATTTGTCAGATGTTTTGACACTGTGATACTTGAATAAATGTTTTGTACCATATTTTGAATTCATTCAGACCTTTTGTGCATTTATTTTTGTCTTGTTACATTTTTTTCCATTATTCCAATTTTGGGGGGCGTGGTAGCAATTTGATTGACTATCAGCCATTTATGGCCATGATGTGCTGTTTACATTTTATTGCTTTTATTACACAGTAGGTTGTGTCATTTTAATGTATGAAACATAAGCCTTTAGCTAAATTTACTGTATATATTTCATTGTGCTGGGTGCAAATCACTTGAGTTGAGACGTTTTCCCTCAAGAAATTTGCTACATTTCATAATCTGAATTCACTTATGCGTGTACTAAGGCACCAATAACTGTTTCAGATGTGAGGTAGATGTATTTATGACATTTGAGAAAGATTTTGTCATGCCAGAATCAACATAGCAGTTTTTACATGCAAAAACAACGGCACCATATAATTGATTTTTGGGTTACTCACATTGTGACGGTTCCCTGGTGTCTAATGTATGCTTTTCCCTCTGTCAAGCAGGAGGTTACCAGGGGGCGGTCCGATCGGTTAGTGAGGTTGGCAGCACCTGGGCCCGGTGTCTCCCAACCTATAAATACCCCGCCTTCTCCACCAGTTCGCTCTCTCCTTCCCTCCGGGCGGATGGCTTTGTCTTTTGTTTTACGCATCCAACACCCTAACACACATTACACCCCGTATTCACTCATGCATGCACGCACCTACACAGCTGATCTACTGATCCTCACACCCCATGACTTGTTTGTGTTCACCACCTAAGTTGCTGTTATACTGTTTTCTTAATAAATTCATTACGTTTACGTTAACTAGTGCATCTTCCGTTGTTTTTGTCGCGGCTGAAGAGCCTGGTCGTGACAAAAGTGGGGGCTCGTCCGTCTTGATTAGGTCCGTTTCGCGTTGAATGGTAAGCTAAGTAGTAGTAGCATTGGTGGGCCTGATGTTTGTGAATGGAAAGTGACGTAGTGGGTGACGTCACTAGCTTGTTGTGAGGGTTTCTCTTGGGGTTTCTCCGGCTTGCAGCGTGTCTTGTCTTTGTACACTGCGGCAGGAATCGGGAGATGCAAATGAGTTATGTATTTTGGGGTATTTGTTTAAATAAGTAATTTGTTTCGCGGGATAGAAGGGGAGGTTTTTGTTTGGGTGTGGGTGTAAAAATGGTAACGATGTAAAGTAGGTGCTGTCGGCTGTGTGTTAAGGCATCGGAAAGACTAAACGTGTGTTTTCCCCCTGTGAGGCTCAGAGGCGTTATCCCTTTGGATTTCGACCTGTTTATTGTTTTAATAGTGCTGCGGAGACCGTGGTTGGAGCATTGCGCTCGGGAGCACGTCCGTGGTTCAGGAGGAGTCGCCAGCTAGTGGTTGCTTTTTCCTAGCCATTGGGTTTTAGTGCATAAATACCCGCCGCCAGTAACTGCATGAAGACTAGGTGAGTTAAGGTAGTTAGATTTTGGGTTAGGTAGTGAGTTAGAGGGGGGGGACACTCGTGGGCGTTTGATAACTGTGCCTTTGTTTTGTGCCGGGTTTGGCTGCACTGTGCATTATGTTGATTACACCACACACACACCCACACTGGTAAGCGGAGATGGCAAGTGTGGAGGAATTTTTTGTTTCCCCGTCAGAGGAATTTTTAGAGCAGTGCACGAGAGAGCAGTTGTTGAATATAGCAGAGCACTACAAAGTTGATGTGGGTGACAAACGTTTAAAGGACAGAGTAAGGGCAGTATTAATTTCAACTTTATTTGAGAGAAAAGTTTTGACCGAAGAACCGGCAGTTGTTTCTCCAGCCGCCCAGTTGCTTCCGCCCTCAGTAGCAGTGGGGCTTACATTTGACCAGCAGAAGGAGCTGCTTCTGTTGCAGCTGGAACATGACAAGTGTAAGCAGAAAGCGGAGCTGGAGAAAGAACTGGCTGTGGAGAGGATGCGTCAGCAAACGGAGCAGGCCAAATTGGAATTTGAGCATTCTAAATTGGCACTGATTAAAGAGGGAAAGCTGATGGCTACGGGTGAGTTGGCCAATGATTCTGTTTTGGGTCAGTCCACCGATAGTTTTGATGTGTTGGGCAATTTGCGTTTTTTGCCAAAATTTTGTGAGAAAGATCCTGAATCATTTTTTTCTTTGTTTGAACGGGTCGCTGATGCACGTAAATGGTCGGATGAGGTGCGCACGCTAGTATTACAGTGTGTGTTCACAGGCAGAGCACAGGAGGCCTGCTCAGCATTAACAGGGGAGGAAAGTCGTAAGTACTCTCAGGTGAAATCGGCAGTTCTAAGGGCTTATGAATTAGTCCCAGAAGCCTATAGGCAGCGATTTAGATCTTGGAAAAAGGGAGAAAGGCAGAGTCACTTAGAATTTGCACGCGATTTGGCTACCCATTTTACGCGCTGGTGCACTGCGGCGAGTGTGGATGATTTTGATGGTCTCTGTGAGCTTATCATATTGGAGCAGTTTAAAAATTCACTGCCGGTGCGAGTGGCAACCTACCTCAGTGAACGAAAAGCTAGAAACGCGACTGAGGCGGCGGCTCTCGCAGATGATTATGTATTAACTCATCGGAATAGTTTTAGTGAGCCCCGGCTGGGCAGTGTAAACAGGGAGTCATTCGGCCGACCCCTTAAACACTTTCCAAGTGATAAACAGAGTGGCAGTCACCTAGGTGATTCGGACAAACTTTGTAATTACTGTCACAAACGCGGACACTGGAAAGCAGACTGTAAATGGCTGCGGTCTAAATCTAAGAGCACTTTTGGGGATCATGCGAAAGGGGTCGCTTTGGCTGTGCCCGCGCGTCAGTTCGTCACTTCTGAGGTTGTGCATGATACCGATTCTTGTCCGGAGATGGATTCGTACCGACCGTTCATCACCGAGGGGTTTGTGTCTATGGTAGGAAGCGATACTAAGGTGCCGGTGACTATTCTGAGGGACACGGGAGCGTTCGATTCATTCATCAGGGTAGGAGTTTTGCCTTTGTCGAAAGACACAGAGACGGGGAGCTCTGTTCCTGTCCGGGGAATGGATCTCAGCGTCCTGTGGGTCCCAGTACATAACGTAACGCTTCAGTGTGATTTGTTTCAGGGGGAGGCTGGTCTCGCGCTGCGCCCGGCGTTGCCTATTCCAGGTGTGTCGGTTATTCTCGGAAACGATTTGTTAGGGGCGAGAGTCTGGGCAGGGGTATCACCACCCGTCGTGGTGGCGCCGACACCGTTGGCGAGATTGAAGCCGGATGAAAATGAACGTGTTTTTCCGGAGATTTTTTCAGCCTGCGCCGTTACGCGTGCCATGGTGGCCGCAAAGTCCGAGGTTGACACAGATAAAGAGGGTGTCCGTGAAAGATTTGCATTGCCCCTGTCTGACTTTCCTCTGTCCATATCTCGCAGTGACCTAGTGGCCGAGCAGCAGTCTGATCCCTCCCTGAAGAAGCTGTTTGACCAGGTTCGACCGGCGAGTGAGGTGTGGGACAGTGCTTCCGGTTATTTTTGCCACGACTCTTTATTGGTGAGAAAGTGGGTACACAGCGCGAACGTAGTGGGGGACACAGTGGTCCAAATAGTTTTGCCAGTAAAGTTGCGGGAGTGTGTGTTGAAAGTTGCTCATGATGAGTCAGGTCATTCTGGAGTAAGAAAAACTTATGACCGACTCCTGAGACACTTCTTTTGGCCTCGTATGAAGAGGGATGTCGCGACTTTCATTAAAACATGTCATACATGCCAGTTAACTGACAAACCCAATCAAACGTTGAAACCTGCGCCTCTGTGTCCCATACCCGCAGTCGGACAGCCTTTTGAGCACTTGATTGTTGATTGTGTCGGTCCATTGCCCCGCTCTAAATCTGGTGCGAATTATCTTTTGACTATAATGTGCCACAGCACCCGGTACCCTGCTGTGTATCCCCTGCGTACAATAACTACAAGGTCTGTGGTACGGGCGCTCTCCCAGTTTATATCTGTGTTTGGCATCCCAAAGGTGATTCAGTCAGATCGAGGGTCTAACTTCTCCTCTCAAATGTTCCAGCAGGTGCTGAAACAGCTGCGAGTCTGGCATAACCAGAGCTCTGCCTATCACGCTCAAAGTCAGGGAGCGTTGGAGCGCTTCCACCAGACTCTTAAGTCCCTTTTGCGCGCATATTGCACGGAGCTGGGTAGAGACTGGGAGGACGGGTTGCCCTGGTTAATGCTTGCAGCAAGGGAGGTGACACAGGAGAGTACAGGGTTTAGCCCGAATGAGCTTGTCTTCGCACACACTGTCAGAGGTCCATTGGCTGCGCTGTCTAGCGGCTGGGTAGAGTCACAACCTCCAAAGAATTTAATTGATTACGTCAATGGCTTTAGGCACAGGCTGTACACTGCAGGGGTATTGGCCAAGGAGAAGCTGGAGTCAGCTCAGGGCAAGATGAAGCATCTATATGACAGGGGGGCTGAGCGCCGTGTTTTTAGTCCTGGGGACCAAGTGCTGGCTTTGCTTCCAATCGTCACGTCACCATTCCAGGCAAAATTTACTGGGCCGCATACAGTGTTGGAACAAATTTCAGAGCTTAACTACATGATTTCAACACCGGGTCGTAGGAAACCGACTCAAATGTGCCATGTAAATTTGCTCAAGCCGTACTACGCGCGCCCCTCGGAGACAGTTGCCGTTGACCCGCAGCCAAGTGTTCAGATCCATGCAGTGTGCGCGGTGGCCCCAGTGGTGTGTTCTAATCCTAGTCATTCGGAGTCTGATGACGAATTAAATATGCCTGACTCGGCTCTGTTACATGGGCGGCTTAAAAATTCTGAGGCTATGGCCCGGTTGGATAACCTGTTTCCACATTTAACAGAATCGCGCCGAGCAGAGTTGATCCAGGTGATCCGAGGTTTTCCGGACCTCTTCAGTGATACACCCGGTCGCACTCACTTAATTGAACATGACATAGATGTGGGGGATGCTGCGCCCATCAAACAAAGATTTTATCGAGTAAATGCAGATCGTCGTAAACATTTGGATGCAGAGGTTGATTACATGCTGGAGAATGGGATTGCGGAACCCTGCTCTTCCAGTTGGTCATCTCCCTGCTTGCTCGTTCCAAAGTCTGACAACACGCCCCGTTTCTGTTCAGATTTTCGTAAAGTTAACAACGTTACCAAGCCTGACTCTTTTCCATTTCCCAGGATGGACGATTGTATAGATCAGGTTGGTTCAGCAGCGTTCGTCAGTAAATTTGATCTGTTAAAGGGATATTGGCAGGTGCCCTTGACGCCGCATGCGCGTGAGATAGCCTCTTTTGTGACACCAGCCGGTCTGTATTCCTATACAGTGATGCCCTTTGGCCTTAGAAATGCGCCTGCTACCTTTCAGCGTCTTATGAACCGCGTCATTGGGGACATGCAGGGCTGTGCGGTTTATCTAGACGACGTAGTGGTGTATTCGGATACGTGGGAAGAACATCTGGAGCGTATCCGGGAACTGTTCACTCGTTTGGCGGAGGCAAGGCTCACGGTTAACTTCGCAAAGTGTGAGTTTGCCAGAGCAACCGTTACATACTTGGGCCGTGTGGTTGGGCAGGGCCAGGTGCGGCCCGTAGATGCTAAAGTTCGGGCGGTGAAACAGTTCCCCGTTCCGGCAACGAAAAAAGAACTTATGCGCTTTCTTGGTCTCGTCGGCTACTACAGGGGGTTCTGTAGAAATTTTTCAACAGTCGTAGCACCATTAACTGATCTGTTGAAAGGAAAGGCGAAATATATTTGGACTCCGACTTGCGACAAAGCGTTCGTACAGGTAAAAGAGCTGCTTTGCTCTGCTCCTGTCCTGTCTGCCCCGCGTTTTGACAAGCCGTTTCAACTCTATGTAGATGCCAGTCACGCTGGAGCAGGAGCTGTCCTCATGCAGACGGATGATTTGGGAATCGATAAACCTGTTAGTTTCTTTTCCAAGAAATTTAACCCGTGTCAGTTAAATTACGCGGTTATCGAAAAAGAAGCACTTGCGTTAATTTTGGCTTTAAAACATTTCGACGTTTATGTTGGTGGCAGCGGTGCCCCTACCATCGTGTACACTGACCACAACCCTCTAACTTTTCTTAACTCCTTGCAGTGTCCCAACCAGCGGCTGGTCAGGTGGTCGCTGTTCCTGCAGTCGTACTCTCTGGACATTCGCTATGTGAAGGGGGCCGAGAACGTGGTGGCAGACGCGTTGTCTCGGGCTCCCCCGCGTGGCGACTGTGCCTAACTGTTTCCCTTTTGGTTCTACTCTTGCCTCCTCTCAATCTCTTAAATTGCTTCCTAGGTGCACCGGTTGCTGGGGTGGGGAGTTTGGGTTAAGGGATGTTGGACCAACGAAACAGTCTGGTACCTGGACTTGTAGTGTTCCACTGTGCTCACGGTGCCTGTAAAAATGTAATGTATGTTGGGTTTGGGTTGTTTTTTTAGGCTAGCACTTTAAAAAAAAAAAAAAAAAAAGTTGACTGGATACGGGTGCACTGATATGGTGTTACTGTGGGGTATTGTGTTTATGTTGGTCTGTTTGCTTAGGTTTGTTTAATCCCGGGATTCCCTTCAGGATCCCGTTCTTGTGGGGGTGGGTGTGACGGTTCCCTGGTGTCTAATGTATGCTTTTCCCTCTGTCAAGCAGGAGGTTACCAGGGGGCGGTCCGATCAGTTAGTGAGGTTGGCAGCACCTGGGCCCGGTGTCTCCCAACCTATAAATACCCCGCCTTCTCCACCAGTTCGCTCTCTCCTTCCCTCCGGGCGGATGGCTTTGTCTTTTGTTTTACGCATCCAACACCCTAACACACATTACACCCCGTATTCACTCATGCATGCACGCACCTACACAGCTGATCTACTGATCCTCACACCCCATGACTTGTTTGTGTTCACCACCTAAGTTGCTGTTATACTGTTTTCTTAATAAATTCATTACGTTTACGTTAACTAGTGCATCTTCCGTTGTTTTTGTCGCGGCTGAAGAGCCTGGTCGTGACAACATATATGTACATTTCTGGGTGGTGACAAAAGTCAGACAGATAGTCTCAGTAGATATTTTAACCCAAAGTCCAGAATGGTATTGTCTATGCAAAAATGCATTGAACAAGTAGCACCAGCGTAGTTGAACAAAATTCACTTTCTAGGCACTTTTCCCTTTGTCCCAATACAGCCTATGACCTCGAGCGAAGTTTCTTTCGCGGATTTTCAGATGCCGTGGATGTGGATGCATCGGCGATGCTGCCTGAAGGGTTTGACTGACCAGCGGCTGCATCACGTTCTTGTTTCTCAAACGCCTTTTGCAAATTAATCGCTGGTAGCATGTCATGTGAAACCCAGCGTCATCAGGAACATTGTCAAAGTCGATATCAACGCAATGTTTATAAGTTTCTGCAAGGTCCTTTGTCTCACCCTGTAGAGAAAGCCACTTTCTAATACAAGTTCTGTAAGTTTCCCAACGTGTCCTTGTAAAGTCGAGAACGTCTTCACTCTGGACAGATGATAGATGCATATAGCATTGTTTCGTTCCTTTTTTATGCACTTTTGAAGGCTGTTTTCTATTTGTCCTTTTCTTTTCTTCCTCTTTGCTTGTCTCGCTGCTAGATGCGCTTGTCACCATGTTTGTGTATTTCTGATACTATGACAACGAGACTCGGCTCGGCTTTTTTTAGTACTTACTATCAATAGAACTATTTTATGAATCACAGTTTATGTTGCCCCACTGAAGTGGAACAAGATTCACTTCCTAGGCACTTTTTCCTCTGTCCCAATACAGCCAATGCGTGGGGTCCGCCACCGTCTGCCAGACACGAATACAAAGCCCAATGTGTTGAAGATACAGAGGTCCTTAATGGACACAATTTTGGCATCTGCAATTTTTTGCACTCCCAAAGGTGCACTTTTATTCACTGCAATTGGCTTGTTGTTGGCATAGTTATCGTTAACTCTTAACTTGTTTCCATAATCATGAGAATCCAAAATCATTATTGAAAATGAAATATGATAAATGTTTTCAAAATCCAGGACAGGTTACTAAGAGGTGAGGTGCTCAAATCCTTATTTACAATGACATGTCATAACTGTACAATAAAATTAGAGACAAACTTTAATGTATGCAAATGTGATACATATTCACAATCATAGTTATTAATGCCGTACCTTTTCTGTACAAGTATTCTTTCTGAAACCATCAATCAAAATAAATATTTAAAAAAAAAAAAATGAAGGCATCAGTGGAATTTATTCCTAACAAATTTTGTACTCATAATAGCAGGGAATTTTTTCACCTCCAAGCATGGTTAAACAGTCTGTTGCACTGATGTCCAATGATGGCAGACTGTCCCAGGTCTACAGAAAAAAAAAAAAAAAAACACTCCTCCCTCATGGCCTGAGGAGCCAGCAGGCTTTATCTAGGTCACCTGGAGTGCTTTCTGCAGTTCACAAAATCCCCTGCGGCCTGCTAAGCTGGTTAGCTGGAAAGGCTAATCGCACAATATCTGTCACCGCATAGGAATTTCCAAAGCTACTCGCAGTTCACGCACAGATTTTCAGAGGTCTTGCTCACATTGGTTCATACAAGGGTCTTACAAATTCCAATTTAAACCATGACAAGCCTGTCACTATATTTCTAGTATAGTTATGAGGAAAAAAAATGTGTTGTACATTTGATTTGAGTTTATGTTGCTTATGGGTGTAGATATAATTGTATGTACACTACAGGCCAAATGTTTGGAAGCAAGGCCATTACAGGCCGAACAGTTGGGAATAACTTCAAGCTTTGTTCACAATCCTTTTTTTAAAATCCAGCATGAGTTTTTTGTATTTTGGGATGTATTTACTCCATGATCAGATGTTGCTTTCATGGAAATGCACCATTATACTCCATTTACCTTTAGATATACATTGATGTTAACAGACCATTGCTAAATATGTGTCAGCAAAAGATAATACAGGCTTAGTTTTAGGGTTGAAAACATTTGCAAGAGTCACAACTTCAGTGCAAAAGCAAAAAAAACAAAACACAGTTGGCTTATTCACTTCAACTTTTTTGCTTTTGAGAGTCTGCATACAAAAATCCTAATAAAGCTCAACTGCGTTCAAACTACCACAAAAATGGCTAGAAAGAAGCAACTGAGTAAAGAAACAAAAGTACAGATTTGTACATTGAGGAAAGAAGGATACACAGAAAGTGAAATTGCAAAACGCCTAAAGGTGTTTAACAAAAGAGTCCACTACACTCTGAAGAGACTAAAAGAACCTGGAAGTTATGATGATAGAAAAAGACCTGGACGAAAGAGAGTTTCTACAAAAGTAGAGGGTAAACATAGCATTGTCTCCAGTAAGAGAGATCGGCGAAAGACACCACCACAAGTAAGGGAGGAAATCAACATGACAAGGTCAAAACCCATATCTCTGACAACCGTGAAATGACATTTGAGAAAGGCTGGTCTGAAGGGTTGTGTATCTGCAAAAAAACACTACTTTGTCCACAGAACAAGAAAAATAGATATGAGTGGGCAAAAGCTAACAAAAATTGGACTTATGATGACTAGAAACAAGTTTGCACTGTTTGGTTCAAAACGCAGAGTCTATGTCTGCAGACAAACTGATGAACGTCTGAAAGCACCATGTGTTACACCCACAATTCAGCATGGAGGTGGTAGTTCCATGGTATGGGGATGTTTTGCAGGTGATAGAGTAGAAGATTTTTTTGAAGTAAAGGGTATCATGAAGAAGAAACAGTACCACTCCATCCTCCAGCACCATGCTGTTCCATCTGGACTCAGACTTGTGGCTCGTAAGTTTGTTTTGCAGCAAGACAATGACCCTAAGCACTCTGCCAAGCTCTGTCAGGGTTAGCTAGACAAAAAAGAAGAGGAAGGTGTTCTTCAAAAGATGTTTTCTTCTTTTTTTTTTTTTTTATAAACCATCTTTTATATATTTATATATGTTAAACTATAATCTTTTTTTGTACAAATCTGATCTTGCTACCAGACTTTTGGCCTTTAGTGTATACATTTATATTTTTCTTTTTTCCCTTTTTTTTTTAGGGTTTACAAATTATGCAACACTGTGATTGATATTATTTAGTGTCTTATAAACCCATTTGGGTTTGGCACTTTGTGTGCATGACACTTAAATAATAAATTAACTAACTTACTCAAGTATAGTAACAGTAACACTATGCTCTGTTGATACATGTCTAAACACATTACAGAAATTACATTTCTAGTTGCACAGAAAACAAACCCAGAGCTTGTTTAGTTGCTGGAACGTGTCTATACAGAGGTCAGCTGGAAGCTAGATTGTATAACAGCCATAGAGGCATCAGGAATAAAGTTGTGCTTAGGGATGAGAATCGAGAACCGGTTTCATATGGTTCAATTTATCAACATCATTTACATTTTATCTGAACAATTCCCTTAACGATACCTTTTTTCCAGGTGCCTTGAAAAACGGTCTTGCAAGATCCAGTCTACACAAATCGGAACAGAGGCAGAGAAAAAAACATGGTGGATGGTATGAAAAGTAGGCAGAAACGATCTAAAGTGTGGCTTAATTTTACTAAGAAAGATGACAACAGTGCAACGTTTGTCGAGCAGTGATAACATGCAAAGGTGGAAATACCAGCAACATGCTTAAACATTTGTTAATGGGGCACAACATAAAATATAAAGAGTCACATGTATTCAATGTTCCCCGCTGGTCATCAGCCGCTGCTGCTCCGTCTCAGCACGGCATGGAAGGTACGGATGTTCGGGTGACCACACGTTCTCTTTTACCCTGACATGTCCTCTTTTGGGGGGCTGTCTGAGGGCAGTTTATAAGATTCTTCAAATGTCCAGAACATGTATTCATTCATTATAAAACAGTGCAGTGCATCAGTGCTTTCTGCAGCTCTGCCCCTCTGCTCACTTCCAAGCAAAGTCACTGATGTGACACACGCATGCACTGTCTTTGGGAATATGCGTTTAACTGAGTTAGAAGCACATAAAAAACACTTGCCCTGACACAAAAAACCTTCAAAATTTCCGCCCCCGCAGTCGTGTCCTCTTTTGGGGGATTCAGAATATGGTCAACCTAACGTATGTCCATACCTGCCAACACTATTTTTTTCTCGGGACTCTCCCGTATTTCAGACCACCTCTTGTATTGTCATTTCTCCCAGGAATCTCCCGTAGTTTGCATGTTTCACGTTCATTCATGAATCTGAAGATTGTCCTGTGTTTCTGCTGAGCCTCACAGACACTGGGTTGATACTTTTACTTTACAATTTGGGATGATTCAGATCGGTTCAAATACTCTCATATTAAGCCCATATCCACCATACAAGGTAACCTCAAAACTGCCCGGCACACACCACAAAAATCTCCCAGATTTTATAACCCAAAGGTTGGCAGGTATGCAAATAGCATTTCTGTTTGATAATTTTTAGACTTTGAAGATGGCATACATCTTTTTCTGTTATCACAGACTCAATAAAATTTTGAGTGAACGGTGAAGACCCATCGTCTACTTTTTGAAATCAAAGAGAGGCATTGATAAGGGTATCGTAAAAGAATTGAATTGATAAGCAGAATCAATAATGGCATCGATATTGATAAAATCATATCAATTCCCATCCCTAGTTGTGCTACATGGGTTTAAGTTGGTCATGTAGTAGGTTGACAAGAATTTAGATTGTGGCTTCTGAGTTCATATATCTGTTGGTAACATATGCCTGTAACTCCCTGCAACACACGCAATTTCAGAACTACTTGGTTACACTCCAGAGCTGGAAACCAACAAAACACTGAAAAATCTCTTGGACATATTCATTTAAAGGAAAACTAAAACATAAAAAAATCAACAGTTCAACATCACAAATCTTTTCAGTACATTCAGATTTTTCAGAAAAGGAAA